CCAATTGCTTACACACTACACACTTTCTCATCAGTTGGAAATGTAATCGAGCGATTCCTTACACAATATTTGAGCTCAGGGTTTCTAAAGACAAAGCAATCTTTCTCCTGACCGTGGATTGCAAAGTATTAGAAACCTCGCGAGTTAAAACAGTCGATGGGTTCCACGGAGAACTTTTTTATTCCATTAAAATAACCAATGATACATAATTAATATAATAATACATAATTAACCAATGATATTATAAACAAATAAGGGGTAGATATATAGCGCTAGCGCACCGAAACTGTGCCACTGAAATTACACTAATTGGTGTAATTAGATTGCAATTCTATAGCTAATCTTTCCGTATCATACGTTCTATATCATCTGTCAATTTCACTTACATATATATGACATATAATGTAAAGCGGAACAATTTTTAAACGCTACGCAGTATGGACATGGGTCATCAATATTGTTAAATGTATGTTTAAAAATTATTTGTTTAATAATATAGATAACGCATGTCCATATTGATGACGCTTACAATACCGCAATGAGACATAAAATGTTTCAAAGAAACGAAATATAAAACGGTTGCGGCCGCTCCGTCTTTGGTATTTAATAAAGACGAACATGTAAAAATTCCTCCACTAAATTGTAAGACCTCACTGAGAATTTATCGGTCGGCGATGCAAGCAAGATGGTCTGACTATCTTGCCGAAGTTGGGGAACAATGTTACTCTGTTGGAAGACAGTGTATGGATAGATATGTGTAACTTACAAAATTTCCAAGTAAAGCTAAATTATTAAAGGGTTAGAATTTAGATAGTTAATTAGCCCTTTATCTCGTTTTAACTATTATTGAGTCTAACTCTTTGTTTTTTGTATAAAGTATTACTTGCAGTTAGTTATTTATGCTCATTTTGTTAGTCACATGACTGCTAGAAAGGCGGGAGTATTGTCCAAGACACATCGCCTGGGGAGGGTGTGGAGGAAACTCGGTGTCAACTCCATGGATTTAATTTCCGTTTCGAGATAGACCTACGCGAAGTCTGTACTAGATTCAGTGCACTTCTACATACAGCGTGTCGTTACCATCGCGACAATAAATGAACACACGTCAAAAATATTTTTCAAACAAACTAAGTAAAAAAGAAACAAAATTTGTAAAATCCTATACAACTACAACTGACTGATTCAGAGACTTTTTCATTCGTTGATACAGCGTCGCATTACAAGTCTCTCCTTCTAACAGTAAGTTTTGTCTCTTTCAAATTGATTCGACCCATTCATATGCTTTGTGACCTTTACAAATGAACTTTACGTTGCAGTTTTATACGTAAGGGTGTTTTAAAATTCTTTGTTTTGATTTAATAACTCTGTAAATATTGATGTTTAAAAACAGTAAATGTTTAATACAATTTTAAAAAGTTATCCTCATGTGTGTTCATTTATTGTCGCGATTGTAAAGACACGCTGTACAGGCATATACATAGTTACTTTACGTTTAGTTAAATACTCGTTACGATCACAGAGTACAGGCCAATTATGCAGCGGGCACCTGCGAATACTATCGATTCCGCAGAGCATTAGCGGGCTCGAGCAGAACAGCCGAGCCATTATTGAGCAATAAACACGTTACGAGCAACGTAGACGCCGCGTAAATCACCGTAATGTGACGTCGACACGGTCACGGCGAATACCTACGCGCGCATACGTTACGCGTAATACCGCGATTTGGGGGTGCCGCGCTCTATGGCTTTCATTTGTTTATGCCCATACGATGCTTTTAATGTTATTTATTAATGATAATACTTCCTTGTCTTTGTTTTTATTTTATGTGAAAAGTTGCCAAGCGAGCAGACGGTTTCCTTGATGTTAAGTGAATACCGCCGCCCATGGACATCTACGGCCACTCCCGAGGGTTCCAGATGCGTTGACAATCTTTTGAAAATTGGGCTCCGGCCACCTCACTCACCAGACGAAACGCGAAAATATTATACTTCCACTTTACGCCGGTCTTCTGTGAGGTCGTGGTACTTACCCGGACGAGCCTGCCCATTCGTGCAACAGCCCAAGCGGCTGCGTGGCCCTACCACCGTCAACACTCACCACTGTGTATATGTTTCGCTTTAATCACTTTAAATTACTTTAAATACTTTACTTTGGTTCATTTTATACAGTACGCGAGGAGAACAAAATAAACAGTATATAAGGTGACTTTGTTAACAGCGGATTTGTAGATTTTCTAGCCTTATTTTATGGCCTTATATTTTTCTGGCCTTATTTTGATTATGTTATAGTTGACGAGATATCCTAATTATTTACTCAAAAAAGTGTATCAATTGAGCGATCGCAAACTTTCTTTTCCTCACAAGGATAAGAAATGACAAATATTGTTATTGTATACTATTGTAAATAAAAATCAAACCTGTGTAACTCCAGTTTGTTACGACAGAGAAAATTGCTGACCGACCGCAAAGTTCGTATAGAAACGAAACAACATAGCCAAGGGCGAAACTTAATTAATAACATTTCCAGTTAAACTTCAGTTAATCTATATCAGCGGGAAGTTTGCTTTATTTATTTATTTAATTACTAGTTTAATCGTGGACGAATTGATGTATCCAATACGATGTGATTTCTCGGCCCATCGTTGTGTCCGGATATCTCGTTCGGATATGGCGCCTGCTGACGAAGTGGCCGTCTATAGCGGCTACTCACTGAGTATAATGATGATTCACCGATCTCTATAAAGCTGCGGCTATCTGCATAGGCTATTGAGGTACATTTTTTTGAACAGCTTTCCCGCACACTTGCACAGGTCATCACTTCATCAAGTGCGGGAAGTCTATGGATTTAGGTGGCTCCGAACCGTGCATCGTGGCAGTGTGTGGGGGCCTATGTCCAGCAGTGGACTCAAACAGGCTGAAATGATGATGATGATGATGAAATAGCTTAAATAGCTTTCTCTCGGCAATGCAACACGAAGTTGTTTCACGTGCACGCACGTGATGAAATGTACTGTAGAGCCGGAGTGGTCGTTTCCGAAACAAATTATTAAATAAAATATTACACGATAAAAATACCGTGTGTCATGATCGACTTCGAAATATACAGTATACATTTTCTACTTGATTTTAAAACATTCCCAAATGTATCTCCGGTATTCAAGTTTTAATAACAATAAAATTAACATGCGACTACATAGGTGCTAAACCAACAACCCAACGCAAGAAGAATTTTTAAAAAAGCTTCGTAAATGACGGAGTTATGAACAGTGGCGTGCACCGAGATTACAGGGTTTGCACTAGAAAACTTACCAATTTCTCAAGAGATTAATGATAACATCAAAAATGCTCTGTGATGTTTAGTTTGTTTTCTGTTTTTTTTTTCCTTTAACTCAAAAAAAATTAAATTAACTTCACTGGAACACTTATGGTGTTTTGAGGCACATTTCATTTTTGCATATATGGAGTGAACGCGTACGGTTATGAAGTAATAAACGAAAACAAATCGTTTTTTAACCGACTTCAAAAAAGAAGGTTTCTCAATTGGACTGTGTATATATATATATATATATATATATATATATATATATATATATATATATATTATGTGTGTTCGCGGATAACTTCGTCGTTTATGAACCGATTTTGATGATTCTCTTATTGTTGGAAAGGCGATCAAGGGCAATCCTCAAACGTTATAGGTTTTGTTAAAACTAAATGTTTTTGAGTCGTTTTTTTTTGTTAAAAATTATACAATACTTGTCTGAAGTGGGTTGAACATCAACGAAATGCGCAGCTCTTGCGATATCCGCAGCCGAGGCACGCAACTATGGGGCCACGCTCTAGTAATCCCGTTAACTACACGAATGAGTCATGTCCGCGCCAGTCACTCCGCATGTTCAATATAGATCATTGTTCCCCAACTGTCAATAAATAGTGGACGCCACGCTAAGCGGAGAGGTAGGCCATTTTGTATGTACTAGTCTACGGCAAATTATTTTGCATATGTGCAGGAAGTCGATTGATGTAGGTGGCCCAGGATCGTCCTTCGTGGCAGTCTGTGGGGGGGGCCTATGTTCAGCAGAGGACTCAAACAGGGTGAAATGATGATGAATAAATATGTTTTTCGAGCCATAAACATTCGCAATCTTATGTAGAAGACATGTCCAAAGTAAAATATACAAACATTATTTTTATTAATAGGAACCACAGGTTAGTGGCATCAATAATTTCTATATCACGAATGACGAAAGATCTCAAATATTACTTCTTTCCATTAAAGATTTGATGATCAAATGTTTAAGAATAATGTTTGACAATAATTAATGTTTAAAAATAAGTATGTTTAACAATTCATAATCTAAAGCTTAACTATTCGTAGAACGTCTATTTAGGCTCAGCGGAGCTAAGTTTTAGAATCCCTGAATTACACTACAAAAGCATGAAACAATGCTTCGTATAACACATATTAAATAAAAGCCATAGATTTAATAAATGTGTGCGCCTCGAAGCCCAGACAGAGTTAATGGGGCTTCACTGCATATTCGCAAAAGTACCAATCCGCCCCATGCATACATATGTTGTCATTTCTCGGTAATTGAAAACTCAAGTAGGTCTAAGCTGTACGCAGCCGGCCGCGGCCGGCGATAACGGCAAAAAGGTATACAGCTTAATCAATATGTATTTAAATGCATTGTTTTCTGATGTTTTTTTATATGTTTAGAACACGATCAAATATACGTAAACTAGGTTTATCTACTAATTATTAACATGTATAAATTTGACAGACAACATAACACAACATGTAGTACCAAATATTTTTGTTGCGATATTCCACTAAGCTCTCAGCAGGCTGTATGTTACGTTTTAATACAGGTATAGCATGCATTAGCATTGAAGGCTTTACAGCCTTGTGCATGAAACGAAACTAAACATGATGGAAACGCGGGAAAGGGAATTTCATTAAATCCCGCTTTTCCCGCCCAAAACTGCACGGCGTTAATTATGCAGGCGTCTCGCGTATTCCGCGGCGAATTAAGCGGAGCGTTGGCGCGGGAATATTTCATAACACATCCGGTCCGCGTTGCGAATAATGTCACGTGTGTCCTCATTAGCGCGTCCACTCCGCTGGGAAGGAACGACAACGCGGGCGGCGGCAGAGTATACGACCGTATGTTCTTCCGAGTGCGAAACATGCATATTGCATTACGCACTAGCGTCCCGCTTTGAATATTTTCGTATTATTAGTGCATGTGGCAGCGAGATCCGACTCGGTGATATCGCGCGCAATTATTTTCGAAGTTTCGCCTTGTTTCATTATTCATTTCATAAGAACGGGTGATACGATAATAATCTTGCTACGTATTGCAAAACACAAAAACTTTGTAATATTTAACGTAATAGCGGTAATAGCGTGAACGGAAAGCCACACAAATAGAGTCCAACGGACAATGTCGCGAATGTACCATCTTCCATTTTTGTGTATATAATTTTGATTATAAGGAATTAGATTAAGTTAAGTCGATACAGCTTTATTTTACTATTGCAGATAGCTTATTTCTTTCGACATAATTTAATTTTTTTTCTTGACGATAGCCCAGAATATTTGAACTCTATTTTTTACATTAAGTATTTCATGTCCATACCGGTGCGTTCGTTGAAATTCCGCATTCGTCTACGGTCAATATAAAATTGTCACTAACGTTTAATATGGAGAGAACTAGTCGCATATAATAAAAGCAGGAACACGGCTTTTATGTTATTCGTGTAATCGTTGCCTACACTAAGTGTGGTTGGACGTCGGTTAAACATCGGAATACGGGTCAAACCCACGGGAAGTAAGTAGGTTGAAGGGACCGCTTTGTGTGGACGCACTTTGGATATTTTATCACCAGAGAAGTTATATAGATATTTCACTATATAACTTCACGCTGCGTAATAAATCTGGTTTCGTAAGAACATTTCGAAGGCACCTTCGCTTTCGCACGATCCATTGTGGATTTGTTTCTCTATGAAAAAAGTGGCCTATTTTGCAAAAGAACACAAGTGTACAAATGCTAACAACTTAATTTCTTTATTTTTTGGGATCGATAGATATTACTGTGGTAGGGCCACGCAGTAGCCTCGGAAGTTGCACGAATAGGCAAGCTCGTCCGGGTAAGTACCACGACCTCATAGAAGAACGTGAAGTGGAAGTATGATACTTTCGAGTTTAGTCTGGTGAGTGAGGTAACCGGAGCCCAATTATCAAAAGGTTGCCAACGCATCTGCAACCCTCCGATGTAATTGATGTCCATGGGCAGCGGTATTCACTTAACATTATAATAAAAAAAATATGTACTGTATAACAATGTATTTGTTGAGAAAAAAAAATGACAAACAAGAGGATACCTACGGAGTTTCTTTCGCCTGGTTCTTCTCTGTTAGAGGAACCTCATAACGAAACGGTGGTAGATTTAAAAAATGACTATCGATAAATGAAATGTATATTTCTTATGTCGATTAATAAATAATGATTTGAATTTGAATTAGGTGAAGTGCAAATTAAAAAAAAATATGTACGACAGTATAGTTTAGACTTTTAGAATTTAGACTTTAGACTTTAGACAGACTAGACTGTTTACAATTTACCTTGCGATGAAAGCACTCACGCCTGTTTTAATCCATTTCGATTCCGTGCAAAGCTTCGTGTTACTAATCAAACGTGGATTTCGCTGCTTCTGTAAATTCTAGCAAGGCCATCTTGTGTTAACATCGTTCAGCGTCCATCGCGAACTTTCTCGATCAATGGCCGATCTGTTAAATGATTTGTGGAATTCGCGCTCGAGTTAGAGGCAAAAAGCCATTAAACATCGGGGTCTAAACTGGAAAGCGGTGAATGAAGAAAGTGTTGAGTCTTAGTCGAGCTCTTGTGTTATGTCAATCGTCGTGTTTTGGGAATCGCCTGTGATAATACAGATGACAATTTTTCCGTTCATTCGAGTTTATTTCTTGGCTTTATTAATCTCCATGAAATGTTAATGTCCGCTTCAGTCATCTCAAAGTTAATAAAATAAATACGACTACCTTGATCCGAGTTTTCTTAAGTTACATCGAAGATAAATCTTTGAGACAGGTACATTATTACGAGTATATTATTAAAGTCTGGGAGTTCAACTGTGAACTAGAACAGGCTGGAATATAAGTGATGATTAAATTATTTCGAAAATACTACGGAGCACTTTATAACCGTTGCGAAGTAGTTAAGTTGTATGAACCAAAATTAAACGTAAGATTCGTGCGAGAAGCTTAACATTATTGGTTAATTTCAACGCAAACTTAGACATCAGCATAGAAAAACAAAGTTTACATGTTTATTTTTTCAATTGAACGGGCAAAGAATCTAAGGAGTTTTACATTTAATAACAAATTGCAACAGATGGCAGTTTTATTACGTAAGAGGAATGCTCTTCTTTTCTTCAGCTTTATTACGTAAGAGCTTGCTTCTTTGGGCTTTCTTTAAGAGGGGTCTTTAAGAGGGCAACCGAATGGTCCAAAAAATTGTTGGGTTGAAATTGCTAAAGTTTAAGTGGTGGTCACCTCACTCGCAAGGACTCCCGCAAAGTATAAATACTGCTATTCCGGTCTTCAGTCAGCCGTTCTCATCATTCATTCATTCAACATACACTGACTGTCACTGCAAAGTCGCAAGTCCCAGACGTTTAGAGGTAGAACTTTGTTGAGGACGAGAGTTCTAACGACCCGAATGGCGTAGTGGGTAGTGTACCTGCCACCTGCGTCAGGGGGTGTGGAGCGACCCCCACTACTGAAAAATATTGTGTGATGAACATAGTGTTTTTCCAGTGTCTATATGTTTAAGTATGTTTATCAGTTATCTAGTACCCATAGTACAAGCATTGCTCAGTTTGGGACTATATAGAGAACGTTGTGTAAAAATGTGTACGAAAATATAAATATAAAATATAACTTTCAGTGGTCTGTTCACAATTGCGAAGGAATCTAGTGTCCATCGTCAGGTCATAAGGCCTTTCGAAGTATAATTACGAACGGCTTACGGACGGTTACGAGTACGTTCCTTTCACATGGACCACTCGTAACACAACAGTCGTACCCGAAACGCGCGGGTCGCGTCGCTAACCCCACAGTCATGGAAGACGGGGCGAACCGTGAGAATGTCGGATAGAGGAACGCACAATTGGGGTCAATTTAAAGTATTAATTACACAACTGACTCAAGGAGACAATGAGTTCCAATTATACACATGACGGCGGCGAGCTGTCGCGAAAACGGTTTTAGTGACGTTAGTACAGTGACGAGTAGTACCCAATTATTGGACTGAAAATCGCTATAATAAAGCGATCCCCTAATGAAAATTGATAAAAAACGTGATGAGAGAGTTATTAAGGCTAAAGTACTTTTAAATTAACTATTTTTTTCTTTTTACGTCAGAAACATTATGGGATAGTTTTGAAGAATGAGTTTAATTGAAATGATTTTCATAAATATTTTCAAATCTATAAAAAAGATAAAAATGTAATTAAAAAGTAATATGCTCTGTTTTTTACTAATATGTTATTTTAAAAGCGATGCTTGAAAAATTTTTTAATTCCCTTCGTTAACGTATTGCCTACTCCACTCCTTTCCCTTTTAACCGTAACTAATTATTTATCACTGGGAATTACACAAATTGGGCAAACCGGAAATTTGTAGCATTTTGTAAAGTTACGCCCTAATGTAATAGTTTGAATATAAAATGACAGCGGTAAGTATTGGCCATTAGATACATTAAGGACTTATGACTAAAGTTCAGGTAATTATGGGCACACTTCAAGTTTGACCTATATACGACCCGAACCAGATAAGTAGTACTATACAGATGTAGATAGATATCTGTCTACCTCGATGGGTATAACAGCGTATCTACCTTCTTCTATCACAGTTTGTTAGTTCTAGAATGATTTTCGTAAAGTAGGGGGTCCTCAAGTGACTGGTACTGCTGACACCTATTGGCGATGGTGAGCACTTGCCGGTAATCAGCTAACCCGACTGCTAAATTTCCTACCACTATATCAATCTTCTCCGCTTATATCAATAACTTGCACGGAAAGAACACAATGAGTAGCATCAAACAGCTCGCGATTTCAACTTAAAAGTGCCAATATATTGCGGTTCCGTTTTAATAACGAATTCATTAGCGCAAGTGCATCCGTACATTACAATTCCAGAAGCGTCGGTTAGCCTTCGGCGGGAACGTGTCTGGTATAAAAATGGAGCCGAAAGAATTTAGTTTGCATACTTCGGTGATCATATGAATCTTAATATCGTTCCGAAAATACGACGCTGACGGTATGTACGCATCGTTGTTTAACATTTATTGGATTTTTTTTGCATTTAGGATTATAACATGTTGTCGCTGGCAACACTAAACTGGATATGACGTTATCTATTCGAGCGACTTGCTTCTCGGCTGCTTTTCCCGGACGGTGATATAACCACTAGTGCTGCTTTTCGTTATAGTTATTAATATTCAAGTCCAGAAATAGTTAAAATATTAGAATCAAAGTAATAACGTTTGAAATCTTATAAACAAGAGCACAACTAGGAAAAGGCAAACTTGTCTTTTTGTGACGTCATTTTTTTAACGATAAGTGAGTAGCAACATACTTATCATCCAGAAACATATCTACGGGAGGCGGTGATCTCTTATCATCAGGTGAACCAGTTCCTCTAGACATAAACCAACTTTATATCGAATAGTATCGGACCATCACAATACATAACGACTGTCCGTTGCAACCGCTACTACAAGAATAGCGTTGTCCATACATAGTAACGCAATAATTTCACTTCAATCTTCAAGAAGCGCATCATTTCTTCGTGCTACCCTCATTAATATGTGGAACAGCTATGACATCACAATACCGTTCGCCACGCTGCCGTTGGGGAGTCTCAATTACCTGAAAAAAACAGAATAACATTGGGTTAACATCGGTTTGCGGCGAGGCGCCATCCGAGCGAGGTTCAATTAAACCGTAATCCGAAATCAATTAAGCGTTAACGAGGCCCGCCCGAGTCAACACGGGTTATTAATAAACTGTTTTACATTCGGCTCCCGGGGAGCGCGGTGCCGTCGTGTCGATACCAAATTGGATAATTAAACGCTTGTGTCGTTCTATATCCAGGGAAGCTCGGTGACGGTTGTCTAGTAGTCTCCCTCGCAGGCCCGA